TATTTAAATGAGAAAGATACAGTGATTAAGCTAAAATATAGGTACGAACCTTTGCATCTTTAAATATACAGGGAATTATGTAAACATACATATGTGAATACACTATATGACAAACTTAAGTATGTGTATGTATATAAATCACTCATTTACATCATAAGTCTACTAAATTCGATATTTAAGTTTGTGAAATAAGTTTTGAAAACTATAAGAAACACACTTTCCGCATGAAATTCTGTAGGAAGATTTACGTTTACGCAATGATCGTTAAAGTAATTTTCTTATGGACCGATCCTCAATACATTTGGTAGAGAGATTTTAACTCGTATAAAACATATACATATGTGTATCGAATTTCATCGCTTTTCTGGTATTTTTAAGCCAGCAATGAGCTTTAAAGTCATTTTCTGAAGGGGAGCTTATATGGGGGCCAATCATATGCAGATTCTCATAAAAGTCAGCAGAGAGGTTTTGGCTCGTAAGAAACTTACTTATGTCGAATTTCATCTCTATACTCGTACTTTTAAGGCAGTAATGAGCAATAAATTAATTATCTGAAGGGGATCTTATAGGGGGTAAGGTCAATTATGAACCGATCCACATACAATTTGGTTAAGATATTTTGGCTTCATTGAAACTTATGTGTGTCGAATTTCATCACTATACTCGTAATCTTAAGCCATTAATGAGTATTTAAGTAATTTTTTGAAGGAAACCTTATATGGGGAGTAGGGTCAATTATGGACCGATCCACAGTTTGATAGAGAGATTTTGGTTTCATTGAAACTTATATGTGTCGGATTTCGTATTTACTCGTATTTTTAAGACAGTAATGAGCGTTAAAGTCATTTTCTGAAGGGGACCTTGTATGGGGAATACGGTCAATTATGGACCGATCCCCCTAAAATTTGGTAGGGAGATTTTGGATTATGTGAAAATTGATTGTTATACTGGTTTTTTAAGCCAGTAATGAGCGTTAAACTCATTTTTTGGAGAAGACCTTATATGGGGGGTAGGGTCAACTATGGACCGATCCACATAAAATTTGGTAGGGAGATTTTGGGTCATATAAAACTTATTTAGGTCGAATATATAATCGTACTTTTAAAACATATATGTCCTTTGAAGCTGTCGGGGGTTCACTTGTGTAGGGGCTATCCGAAAACGTAGACCGATATTGCTCATTTCAATACCAAACAAACCTTACCTATAGAGAATATTTGTATTTGAATATCCACTAGGTCTTTCTGTTCGTACTCTATCAACAGACAGACAGACGGATGGAAGGACAGACGGACAAACATGTCTAGATCGTCTTAGAATTTAATAAGGACCAAGAATATATATACTTTTGTGGGTCTATGACCAATATTTCGATGTGTTACAAACGTAATGATAAAATCAATATACCCCCATGTTTTCTGATGGTGGGTATAAAAACGTTTGTAAAACTTAGTTTACGTAGTTTCATCTGCTTGAAAAAATATTCATTATTTTCGACGTTAAAGTGAGTTTTTGTTAATGTTGATGTAATGCTTTTTAATCTATGATTTCATTTTCTGAATATCATCATCAATTTGAGTTACAACTGTTTTGAAGTAAACGAGCGTTAAGTGCATTAACGTTGGTGATAACATAACAAATTAATCCGGAGTATATATTTATTTCAATATGTACATATGTTTACATATATGCCCAGCAAAAACTCATATAAAAAGTTGTTTTGTTTTATGCAGAAAAAATTGCTCACACAGAATACGAACCTAGGCCTAGGTTGTTCGTTAGTTCGCTGTCTTACTCACAACTCCACTGCTCAGTTATTTTATTATGCGTCAAATAATAGTTTTCTATTTTCTCTCTGTATGTGTTAAAAACAGTTGTAGGCGATCAAATGAAATGTGCAAATAAAACCGCAAAAATCAAATAATGTATCTGATTATATGTATGTCATTATAAGAGTACTTAAAGTAGTAATAGTATATAGTATTCATTTAAAGTACAAGTCATTACCGAGTTTTTGCTGGGTGTATACTATAAATAACAATATTGGTTATCTGTTGAATTTATATTCATTACAGTTAACTCTAAAGCATATTTCTGAAGAGTTGTACAGATGTACTTTATTTACATATGGCTGTAGAAAACACTTTTTAATCCACAATCTATTAAAGGAGTTGTATATAATAGGAATTTCTGTTTTATTTTATATATGTACATATTTTTTTTACTTATAAAAGCTCCTTTTAAAAAATTAGTGGAAATTTATATGTTTTGAACAAGTTAGAGGGCTATATTCGCCGATGCTACTCTTAAATACCCTCCACTTTTAAGCTACGCTTTATTGTGAAAGTTTAAACTTAAATATGATTTGTTTTGTAATTTCTTTATGTTTACACATACATATACATATATGGATGGTGATACAAGTGACAAAACTCAAAAAATCGATTTGGATGAAATTTGCACCAATGTTAGTACTATTGGATAGTAGGCCAGACACAAATTTTCAGGTCTATCGGTCAAGAACTGCCGGACTTTGAGGCGGTCAAATTTGGACATGTTGAACAAACAGGATTTTATTCAAATGAGTGCAACTTCTCACCTATTGGTCCTAGAAGGAGTTCAGATAGCTATGTCTTCATTGTTTCCAAAAAAAATATTTTTTTGTAATTTTTTTCAAAATGGGTGTTTAAGTAATTTTCGGAATTAGACCTTATTTGGGAGGTCCTAATTGGATAGGAGGATATTAATATGATTTCTATTCATATTATATTTATGTATATCTAAAAAAGTGGTGATACCGATATTTTAGATATAAAATCTAATGATATACTCCGTTATGAAATGTTAGGTCGAAATAAGAAGATATTGCAATTTGAAGTTTACATTGTCTCTGAAGTAAATTCTCATGTCTTAAGGAAAAAAACTCGAAAACTCGTTTTAAATTACTTAATTTGTTGTTAATTTGTAATTCTAAAATTCACGTAAGGTCATTTCCAGTTTATTATCAGAGTCCGTTCTCTTTTGCAAAAACCATAAATAAAATTTAAGTTTATCGTTTTGTTTTCACAGATTTATGGTTTTCAATTTCATTTTAAGTATGTATTTATTTTGTCGGTCTTTATGGTTATTGTTAAGTTGCAATAGATAAACAATAAATGTATTTATTTTAAGTGTTTTTTGAAGTTTTCACCTTGAGATGTGATAAAAAATCGCTTCAGAAACAATGCAAACTTCAACGTGCAATATCTCCTTATTTTGACCTAACTTTTGAAAACGGATTATGTCATTGGGTTTACGCGTATCGGCGTTTTTCTGTGACATTTTAACATACTTACAGTGTAATTAAAGTAAATTCTCCTTCATAGGGATAACAAAACACCCAGCTTAAAATTACTTTAAAATTTTGGAATAAAACTCTTTGTGATGTATACAGACTAGTCTATTGTCTAGTCTACTACTGATTGGTTTATTGGTTAATCTACTGACTGGACTTTTGATCCAAATATGAAGCTTTAAATTGACGTATATTTAAACACATCTTATGTTGACATGTAAAATTTTATACAATTCGAAACAAACCTATAAATAAATTGTAGATTATCTTCCTTTTTTCAAAAATTGTCTACTATGCAACTTGCAGCTACATAAACGAATATGCAAAAGTTAAAAATTTCTACAAATACGTATTTCTACAAATACGTATGTATGTACTTACTGCCTACCTAACAAAAACATGGTAATGACTTGTACTTATTCAACAACAAAACCCCCCACCCCCGGGCATGTTTTCTGGATGAAAGACCCTCATCTTGGTGTATTGCAATCCCGGAGTAAATAGGTGCTACTAGTTCCTCTAGTCTGCAGGACCTACAAACTGGTTATGTCATTTCACTCCTCGAACTTTTCTTGGAATAATTTGACATAGGGTCAAGCTAGAGAACCACATATTCTTGTACTACGGGTGGTCAGTTGTCCGTGTTATGGAACTCATCCGCCCGTATACCTAGAGTGAGTGTTTCGTATGTTCTTCTCTTATGAGTGTGTCGGATTAATGAGAAATGTGCAGGGTTTAATGGTGATGGATGAAAGGTATCATATACAAGTGATACCATTGAATTTTCCTTCCTTGTCCAGGTATGTTCAAAGTAAACTCTGTTCATATCAGATTTACCACAGTGTGTCCCTATGAGTAAGAACAGAGTCTCGGCTTATTTTATGGATTCGTACTTCAGTCTACCGGTGACGTCTCTAGATGCTGTTGCCGACTCAACAGAGGCCATCCTATCTGCGTGATTGTATACGGATGTGATTTTTTTGCGTCTCGGAAGTTAAGCAACGGGGCAGAAATGGTCAGAGATTAGATCGCTCTAGAACTTGAGCAAAGTGCACGTATACTTGACCGAAAATTCCATAGACGTAAATTGCCACCTGTGTGTAAGGAACGCAATGGGGTGAGTCGTTGCAAAAGCTCACGCAGTGGTTGAAAAAGACCACCGTGAAATAGGCAAACACGGCACACAGAGGAAAAAAATATACACGCCTGGTACCAAATTGACACCAAATTTTTCAATAACATCCGCTGTCAAGTAGACATTGCAACAATTCGTTGTCGCAATCTAAACTTTTTGCACATCCGTTGTCTAACGTGGTAAGCTCACTATTTACAACGCATTTTGAGCTTACCACGTTTGTTAACTCTCACTTTTTAACAAAGTACTTACCTAACTCCCTATTTCTAAGCGAGCGTGGTAAGAACTTGCCTCTAATGTCATCCCCGTGTTAAAATAATGACTTAAAATGCTATTTTCTAAGTAAATTTTACCATTTTAACCCCTTACTTTTCAATGTAAATTTTTGCTGGATATATACATATATGTGCATTTATTAGTAGGTACAAAAATGCTCAATGTTGTTACCACCTTTGAAATATTTTGATTCAACACAACTTACCAACAATTTTAACTGTCGAAATAAAACAAACACTAAAACATTTGCTGGGTTATACATTTATTTTTTCATTTTTCATTCGTTTATATTTGATTTTATGAATATTTCAGTTTATCGATAATAGATATTTAATTATTACAAAGTATATATGTATGTATGCGTGTTCATAAAGTAAATATGTATTATTACTTAATTTTGTGTTTTAAATAATTATTTACAATAACAAGTAAAAAAAAGTTTTTTTTTATATTTTTTATTTGTCATAATGTTTTGGACTTATATTTTTTTATTATGCCTGTAGGGTTTGTATGACAAAATGCAACAAAAAAAATGTCATAACAACACATACATACATCAGTTATTACTATTACGTTGTGTTTTTTGTTTATTTTAATTTGTTAATGCTGTATTTTTTTTAATAATTTTTTTTTTCACTGTATTTAAATACATTTGAAAGAGTAGTTGTTTTCCTTTTATCGCAATGTGTATTATTGCAACTATTTATTTAATTATATAAATTAATTACACACTAAATGTATATTATTAACTAAATAAGCTTTGCATTATTTTGTTTATTTGTCTGTGTATGCAGGCGTGTGTATATTTGTTTGTGTCTTAATGTGTGTTTTTGTGCATAATTCTATTTTATGTAAATTAAATTTTTTAACAAGTTTTTAATAACAAAATCAATTTTTTTCTTTTTAATTCTTTCAATATTATAAAATATTAATTTTTTTGTTTTATTAAAAATAAAACTTTTTAAGCCTTTTATAATTGTATTATTTTTAATTTGTTTTTATAATTAATGTTATTATTTTATGGTTATAAATTTATTATTTTATTTAATTTTATTATTTTACACGTTTTAATATTCAAGTGATTCAAATTCTCTTATTCATTTAATAAACTATCTGGATTGATAAACATTTAAAAATATCATTAATATACTGCTGGTTGTTAAAAGCAATTTTAGATGTTGGAAATTAAATCTTTCCGCTCCAGAGCTAGGACCAAAATATGTCTCCAGAAATCCTCTAAATCCACCGCCAGATGATGTCACTATAATTAAATTAAATATTGAGAGAAATTTTATTATAACTGTTGATTCATGTTGCTTATTGAAAATAGTTTTAGCTTTTGGTCAAATAAATTACAAATAAAAAGAGAAAAATATTGACCGCAATTGTTGTGGCAAAAAAAAAATATATATATATAAAAGTTTTAAGTTGAGATTTGCTTTAGTATTCAGAAAACGAAACACTTCTAAGAAGGATAACTTTCACTAGTATAGTTTTTAATAAAGTTAGAGAAAATTATGAAATCCTTTAATTTCTTATATAAGTTTTTAGAGCAGTATTACTTCCAAAGGTTTTTAAAGCCAGTCCAGCACATCTTGCAACTACTGGAAGATTAATCTTTCAATTGGCATACATTCCCCACAAAGGAGTAACTTTTAACAACATATTTGAACAACTTTTTCAAAGCTCAAATGCATATACAGGTAACACAATAGAGTAAAGAATAATATTATTGCTATCCACAGACAAGAATTAAAAAAAATATGGTTGTTTATCTACGAATGGAGATATAAATCGGAATAAACGAAAACAAGTTTAGGGACTAAAAAACATTAGTAACAGACAATAGTCCAATAGTGTATTGCATAAGGGTATAAGTTTTCTATTTAAACTTTGAACTAAAAACACACAAATACATACATATATAAACAGAAAAGTGCAGTTAACCGAAAAACTTACGAATATACAAAAATATATTGAAAAAATAATAATCTGTTGAATGAAAGTTATGAAATATTCATGTTGAGGTTTTTTAATGAAATTAAGATTTGAGGAATTTAAATAGAAAAATACTAATTAAAAGAAAACTTTATTTTTCCTAGTGAGAGTGTTATATTCGGCTGTGCCGACGATCATATATGCAACATCAAACAGTATGTCATAAAATGAATGCTCCTCTAACATTACGATCACTCATCAAATTAACTAACCGTTTTTCATAACATTTTTTGACCGATTTTGTTTCATATAAACATGTTTACATCGAATATCATCGCTGTACTCGCATTTTTATGTCATTAACTCATAAATGCCCACAGTTACATATACGAACGCAAATTAATTAGAATTTGGACTCGAAATGGACAGAAGTGGAAAATACAAATTTACTTTTTTCTGATAGATAGGTTGTCTTAACATGTACTTAACGATTAGAATTCAAATTTGAGTAATTTTTGCCTATAGGATTGTAATTTTAGGTTATTTTGTAAAGTGCCACCTCCGTAATCCTGCAAAAACTCATATTTTTCGAGGAATGAATTCTTAGAATGTTAATAACTTCTATGTAGGTAGTTTTTAAAAAAAGTTTTTTCGCGTAAACTTATAAAGAAGTAATCAAAGTCGATTGTCTAATTATTTATAAACATAAACCATGTCCTTGCGGAGACTTATAAAGAGGACAACTAAGGTTTTACGTATATGTAACAATGGGCAGTTCTTTTTGTCCCCCTCTACATATGATATAAATAATGAAATGAACTTGGCTACTTTTTTATGAAATCTGCTCCAAAGTAGTTTTTTATTAGAGGAATGTGTTTTTAACGGTGGCGTGTCATAAAGTCCATAGACCTTATGACACATCTTAAAGCGACATAATGTCCTTGGATATTATGTAACTTTTTTAAAATGACATAATGTCCATGGTTTGTTTAGAATTTAAGAAAGGGATACACTTATCCCGAAAAGAATTGCTCCTAAATTTGGTGTATGTTGCATTTTGGATTCCTTTAAAAAAGTGTCCTGGATAGTCGGCCTTCCGCCAGGCGCAGGGGTTTTAAAATCTGGGGAATTTCAAATACCGACTTAGCTAAAGTAAGCCTTTTTTTAATAAACGGACTCTTTGAAATCCATGGACTTTCTGTCGCTTTAGTCTTGGACAATTTTGAAATTGTTATGACCCAATTTAGTGTGTCTAAGGTCTATGGACATTATGACACGCCACCGTTTTTCTTGAAATATTGATATTTGATGACAAGCAATATATTTTTAATGTAAATGCTTCTATTAAATCGTCCTCTCGTGGATATTTTAAATTTTTTAAGGATTTCTGTGAAGGATATGTCATTTGGCCGCATTAAAACTTGCTCTAGGCAAAGTTGGCGAATCTTAAATATATATTTTTAGAACTGTTGAAAATTTTTGAAATCGGTCTATTTTTACACATCGCCCCCATACAAACGGACCCGCAAATATCTCTTTTTAACTCATATTTCTGTTAATAATAATAATAATACTATTCCTTCCAAAATCGGCAGATCTATAATGTATATAAGCCTAAATCATTATGACGATTTTCATAACGATTGGACCTCTTTTGACCCTAGTTCCATTCAAAGTTTAATTTCAGAAAAACACTTAAACGTCCATAACTTACTTATAAGCACTAGTATTATAATAACATTGGCACATATAAGTCTTATATGAATAAAAATCCCACCTCAAAATTTTATGAGGATCGGTGCATATTTGACCCTAGTTGCCATATAACTTTTGTTTTTTAAATTAAATCTACAAATTGCTTAAACATGTCTATAGGTCGGCCATGTCCGCCAGCACTTTCCTAATTCTTTTTATTTGTTGAGGTGTGTGTGTGCATGTATTTCCAATATATATAATTTATAACCTAAAAAAAATTCAGGAGAAAAATCTGTCACATACGATGTATCACGTACGATATTCAAAAATGTTCATTATATGTCCCATAGTGTAAGAAATTAAAACAAAAAAGATAGAACTACAGAATTCGCAGATTTTCGTAAATTTTTACATGTATCTTAAAAACACTTCCGTATTTCGTCACGTATGTTATCGCATTTTTTAATCTATATTTTGGAAAACAAGATTCCGAATGGGATGATTCCTTTTGCAAATATAATATTCTCAGAATGGAGCAGAACGCCAATATTGTTTTCCAAGAACTCCCATTTTTACCAAATCTATACCACTCTGAAGGCGTACGAACGTCACGTACAATCGTATGGAATTGCCCATATGTACATATACATATATTATAACGGACTTCAAGTTACCATTTATCTATATTCTTCTACTGTTATTTCTGCTTAGTAATCCTTAGTGATTAAATCAGAAAAAAAATATTTAAAATATTTAGATTGTTACAGTTTTTTTTTCTATTCAGTTCTGAATTAGTAATAAAGCTGCAAAATTTTAAAATAAAAATGAGAAAATGTTACAAATATGTTTTGAATGTATGTTTATGCAAAAAAAAAGAAGAATCCAACAACACAATGAAAAACACAACAATGAAATGAACAACAAACATTCCATATGGCCGTTGGGTAGGTAACAAACAGACGAAGCACAACTAAAAGATGAACCCAGAGATGATGACATGACCACCAAGGGTGCCAATGATGACAGGCATCCCTGTTAAAAACCTAAAGCAAGATTTTGTGTTTATTTTTATATAAAAAAGGAAACAGTAAAATAACAAAAGGTACAACAAAACCAGATGAAAACAAAAACATGAGAAAAGCAACAAACTCAATAGCTTCTAGTGGCGTTGACCAGAAACTGTCATTTCTATTCTTTGCCAAAAACGAGGAGACGATGTTCCAAATTTGTTTTGTTTTCTTTTTTTTTTTGTAAGTGAAAATGTGTGTAACTTTGTGTTGTTGTGTTTTTTTTTTTTTTAATCAAATATAATTGGGCAAGGCCGACCATATGACACCTTAGATCAGTATAAGGGTATTCAAAATTTTATTTATTTTTTATATTAAAACAATTGACGTTAATTTGGAAATTGTTTAATTATGAACATGTTGATCTAACTAAAATAATCAATAGGCCTTAGATCTTGATATAATAGAAGATCGTGTACCATTCAATTATATTTAATATTTCGATTGATTGCAAGGTTTACATGGAAGGACTAACAGATGGACCTAGCAGTGGAAGTATATGATTCTAAGCTTATATTTCGATGTGCTACAAACAGTAATGCAAGTTTCTTCCTTTATAGTAGTGTAGGGTATAATAATAAATATTTATAGATAAGAGTATGTATGTTAATCTGTAAATATACGTTTGTGCATTTAGTAAAGTTATAAAAGCAGAAACAACAGAATTCAATAGCTTAGAAAATATAACAATCTAAAATAAACACTTTGTCCTAACAACAATACAAAAAAGAAAAACAACTCTAAAATTAATAGTAAAATGTATGTTACCTTTAATAATTACTATTAGTAAAAACAAAGGAGGCATTTATTTTTTAAAAGTGTTTCTTTGTTACTATATTTTTCTGCAGCAGAAAATTTATGAATTTTTTCCTGCTACCTATAAGAATATTTCAATTACTACAATTAGATTTAATTGATACGAACTCAAACTTCGTAGCATGTACCAGGAGGCTTACGGTAATGTTTTGTAATATTCAGCTATCAAAAGTGGATTGTAATATGAAAAATTTCCAAATCGGATGTAGATCCATAAGTAGCGCCCAGTTGAGAAAAAAGCTTGCAAAAAACTCAAATTGGCTGTAATTTCTTACATAGTGCTATAATTGCGAAAAAGTAAGTGCATGGGTTAAAATTTGTTCAATTTAATAAAATTTCCACCGAAGATTTTATGTACCAGAAGACACATAAAAGTAAATGTAGGAAAAAATTGTTCAGTTTTAAAAAAATTGTTTCGACATATGCATATTATGATGGGCCCAAAATGGAAGTTGCTGATGTTACCATCGAAAATGAAAATTTAGTTCATTCTAAGATACCATTTCTCAAAATTTTTGTACTGACGTCAATATTTGGTGAGCTTCATCAAGGGATAAAAAGGTCCCTTTTTATGGTTTTTATAATTGTTATCATATGGGCAATTCCATACGATTGTATGTGACGTTCGTACGCCTTTAGAGTGGTATAGATTTGCTAAAAATGGGAGTACTTGGAAAAAAATATTGACATTCTGCTCCAATCTGAGAATTCTATATTTGCAAAAGGAATCAGCCCATTCGGAATAATTTTTTCCAAATATGGATTAAAATATGGCGATATCATACGTGACAAATAACGGAAGAGTTTTTAAGATACATGTAAATATTTACGAAAATCTGCGAATTCTGTAGTTCTATCTTTTTTGTTTTAATTTCTTAAACTATGGGACATATTTTTCATTCGTAATCCATAATTTTTAAATAAAAAAAATAATATAATTTAATAATGAAAATTTTTGAATATCGTACGTGACACATCATATGTGACAGTTTTTTCTCCTGAATTTTTTTTAGGTTATAAAATATATATTTTGAAAATATATGTACACACACACCTCAACAAATAAAAAGGAGTAGGAAAGTGCAGTCGGACATAGCCGACCTATATACATGTTTATGCAATTTATAGATAAAATTAAAAAACAGAAGTTATATAGTGACTATATAAAACTTATTTGTGCCAAATTTCAGTATAATACTAGTGATTATAAGTGAGTTACGGACGTTTAAGTGTTTTTCTGAAATTAAACTTTCAATGGAACTAGGGTCAAATGAGGTCCAATCGTTATGAAAATCGTCATAATGATTTAGGCTTATATACATTATAGATCTGCCGATTTTGGAAGGAATAGTATTATAATTAACAGAATTATGAGCTAAAAAGTGATATTTGCGGGTCCGTTTGTATGGGAGCGATGTGTAAAAATAGACCGATTTCAAAACTTTTCAACAATCTCTTTCTTTCAAAACAATCATATACCAATTTTTGAATTATCTTAGAAAATGCAAAAGTTATAGGTGTTTTATTTTTTCAGTCGGGATTTACCTTTTCATGGAATTGCCCATATTTATTCCAAAGGAAAGCTATGAAATATTGGTATCATTAGATTATTCCATTCTAGACAGACAGAAGACGGAAATGGCTTAATCGCTATCTATAAGGATCCAGAATATACATATCGTCACCTGAAAGGCAAACGGCCCTAACTAACCAAAAATTAAAAATCGATTTTATTGTTGATTATTAATTATTGCATCAAATCAAATGTCCACACAAAAAATTGAACTCCTCCGACCAAAATTTATCGATTTTATTGACAAAAAACAAAAGGCCCTATCTACAAAAACATTTAAATATCTATCTACAAAAACATATGTTTATTTACAAACAAATAAATCGCGTTGATAGAAACAAGCTATTCAATTTAAATAGTTTTTTGCTTCTCCTGTAAAATTTTAAAAATGTTATATAGGGCCGTTTGCGTCTTAGGTGACGATATGTATATATTTACTTTATAGGGTCGGAAAATTATATTCTAGAAATTACAAATGGAATGACATACTTATATGTATATACCCTTCTCACCTTCTATTCTATCGGATTAAAATTAATTAAACATGTTTTAATTTAAACAAAATTATTCCTACAAAATATACAAATCTCTTGGTGTCATTTAAAAATGTCTATTTATCGATAAATTTATATTTTAATGTATATTTTAAAATATTTATTTAATGTGGCTCTTGTTCTTCATTTACACTTTAAATAAAATAAAAAAAAAAAAACATTTTGTTGTATTTAATTAAATTTGGTTTTAATTTATGTATATTAAGTATACAGTCCGAAGACATCTTTAAAATTCTATTCGAAAATTATTGATTTTATATTGCAACAATATGTTTTAAATAAAAATAAAATTTAAAATTTAAACATGAATATTTATTTAGAGATTTTTCAAATAAACTTTAACAATTACTTAAATATGGGGCTTTAAATGAAAAACGTATTTATTACCTTTTAAAGTTTTAAGAAACCTTTGACGAACGGACATAGCTTAATCAGCATAAACGCATAATACCCTCCCCACTATAATGGTGTAGGGTATAAAAATTTAACAAACTTTTTCCAAATTTGGAGAAACTAAAGCAAAACAAGTCAAAATATATAATAACACGAAATTGAAACCATTCCGATAGAAATGTATAATTTTTTTGAAAACTTCTTTTATGGAATCACCCATGTTTTTCTAAAAATTGTCTAAGGCTATATTCTAATGTAAACAAAATAACATTAATTAAATGAATAAACTAAAAATAGTTTCACATTTACATATTGTCTACAAACACCTGTACTGCAAACATATACACATGCATAAAATTTATTTACACTTTATCCCTGGATCCTGAATTCTTTGTAAGTGTGAGTATGATGTGTTACAAATTACTCAAAGGATTAAATATACAACATTTGTCATTTATGGCTTAAAGGTCTAGAGAAACAAAGCAAGCAAACAAACACACATTTACAAATGAAAACTGTTTTCATAGTTTTACATTAAAACATAAACAACATATTTCTCTTTATTTTCTTTCTTGGATTTTAAGTGAAACAAATAAAGGAATTACAACTTACAAAGACATAAACAAACAGAATAAAATATCGTATCCAATCATCCAAGGGTCAATGTATGCCTTTTATATAGAATTTTAATTCAAACTCTTACTACTTGGTTTGTACAAATTTGTTAGTTTGTACAAATTTGGAAATTCTTTGATAAATTATCTAGTAATGCGGAGATGAAGTCCATTGTCACTTTATTGTTATTAAGGAAACAAAAGTGATTTTTTTAGACAGTTGTTATTAAACTCTAATCGAAACAGCTTACCCGAACTGCAGGAAAGTTTTACTATTAAGCCATTTCGAATTAATTAAACTCTGTTTATAATTTGAAGCTGAAAATTTTTTCTGTAGAATAAATATAGTATTATGGAATATCTAATAGTGAAATCCACATACTTACTGATAGAAAAGCAGCCATTAAATCCGTAGAGAACTTCGAAAGATGTCCAAGAATACCGGACGCGTTTCGAAGAGATAGCCAGATATTCATTGGTTACCCTTGTATGGGTTGCGTGACATGGGACATAGAACTTAACAACCATGCTGGCGCACTAGCTAAAAATGGAAGTACTCTACAATTGAATGAGTTTGACTGCAACATCGGCATATCTTACGGGAAAGGAAAACAGTTGATTGTATACAAACTGGAATTGATCGCTAATAGAAGATGCGAAAATTAACCCACCCACATAAACTTATGGCAGATAATGTTGGTCCATCTATATTTATGGGTGGTGTCAATATTAAGGAAAACTCTTGATGTTCTGGGCATGAAAATACAGTCCGATGGACTAAACACATTTTCCTACTGTCGAAAGAAGCATTCAAGTTTTTCGGTTTTTTGAAACGGTGTAAGACATATTTCACTCCATCTTTTTACTATTTACCCCACTTCTATCCGCCCGAAAATGGCATACAACTCCCATGTATAGGCCGGAGCTTCGAAGTCTATTTTGGAGCTACTCGACCGCGTACAAGAGAGGGCGATGGTACTTATCGGTTACGGTAGGGTATCCAACTCTATTGATTCACTGGAACACCGTCGCAACGTGGGGTGTATTTCACTGTTCTATCGATACTATAATGGAATGTGTTCCTCTGAAATAAGGGAACTCGTTACCGATATCCGTACATTTTTACGCTGCACACGACTGCCATAAAGAACACACCGATTTGTGGTCGATTGGCCAGTGGACCGCACAACACATTACCGGGAAAATTCATTCTTCAGCCACACTGTTCGTATGTCAAACAAACTTGCTTCAGAACTATTCCCCGCCACTTTCGATGTGAAAAGGTTTAAATCAAATGTCCACAAACACTACCCTCTCTATCCTACCTCCCACAACCTATTTTCCTAGTTCCAGCACAATGCACTGCATGAGTAGGGGTCATCCCCTGAGCACTGGTCCAAGAAAAAATTAACCCACCTGTGTGGAAGCCAGAAAAATCTGACCTAGGATGGATATGATACGAGCAAACTTTGCCATAAACCTGTCAAGATTCCATCTCAGAACCTCCTCTCCATTGTCATGTATTGATAAGAACAAACGGATATTACTACCAAAACCTTTCATTCAGACGACTCTTATTCTAAAAGTTTTTAGTGAAAACCTTTATCAGTGTAATCTACTTAAAGATATATTTTCATACTGTTAAGACGAATCTAACTGATATATTATATTTTAATGTAATGCTAATTTCTATCTTCATATGTATAAGCACTTTTTAGAAACTGTGTACATCTTGCAACGATAATTTCTAGCAGTAAGGAAATAATACATAACTACAAACTTACCTCTTGCTGGTACAGGATCTTTTTGTGGTGTTCCTAATTCAATTTCTTTATATTCCTGATACAAATCACCAATTTGTGCCGTACAACGTAATAGTAAAGCACCTCCTGAGGCTGAACCTCCGCCAACAGCAGCACCGCCATATGATGTAGAAGTTGAACCCACACCACCGCCATTTAAAGCATTTATCATGTGTGAATTACCATTGCCAATGGCGACGGCAGCAGCAGCAAAATGTATAGCCTGCAATTGCACTTTAAGACTCAGTCTCGACGCAATTAAATTGTCAACTGTTCTAATGTATTGTGTTTCTTCCGAAGATACCTGCAATATAAACGATAAAGAATTTAAAAAAATAGAAATACGAAAAAAGTATTCAGTGCAATATGAGGAAAAATACTTATTTCAGTGTTAGTGTTTGTATATGAATTTGTGTGCTGTACTTGATTAATGTTCGTATTGGTTTTGTAATAGATGAAATATGTAGAACAAGTAAGAGTGTTATATTAGTCAATGCCGAATCTTATGTACCCACCATTAAAACTTGTGCCTTAAATTTTAAGTAAATTATTAAGTAAATTTGCTTATTTTTTAATCATTAATTTATTGATATATTAAGGTGATTTTCTAAGCTCTATAAGGGTTTCGATGGGTCGAAGTAAAAAAAGATTTGTAAACAATTTCAGCTTTCTAGAATCTCCCGTGTTGGCCCTACCTAGCTTTTAATGGCTATATCCTTACAATCTTATAAAAACCCAAAATATACATATACATACATTCGAGACTTAGTATATTTTGATGTGTTACTAACATAATGACAACATTAATATACCAGCAACTCTTTCGAAGCTTGGTATAAAAAGCATGTCTGTATGTGAGAAATGAGATATAAAAAGGATATTAGAAGTTCTTAAGTAAAAAATATTGTTAAATGCTTCTTATTGTTGTTTTGCACTAGTCACAAAAATTCTTTAGAATCGTAAAAATGTGTCGACATAAATCTTACGATAATTGGTACTGGTGCATTTTTTGTTACCTTTATTTTATTTTTGTTTTTGAAAATGCAACTTTAAGTGACTTTTAGAGATGTGCCTATCTTAGCTGTAACACTCTCTAAATATTACGTTTATAAAAACGCTTGATTACATGTTTTAATTCTCCTCTTATTTTGTCTATTTTTCTTCTATTTGCTACAATTTTAAATCCCTGCGTAAGGATGCAATGTTCATTTTTAACACAGTTACCCAATTTGAATGAGTGAATAAAATATTTTCATACAACTATTAAATAGTCGAAATAAATGGCTAATAGCAAATATGACGATATAGTTCGAATGTTTTTAATTAAGATTGTTATAAGACTAGATATCTTAAGTATACATTATCTTAGAGATCTGTGGAATGTTACGAATACAATTTTAGGTTTGCTTAATACAGCCTTGTGACTGCTTTCAAAGTTCACTAATGCTTGATCTAATGGTTTTTTATATTAAATCAACTTTTAAAGGAAGTATTCCTTTGCGCAAATATCTTACATGATTTTTTGAACAACATTTTAGAAATAGCTCAAAATACTGGAGATTCAAAATTATTGGCGAATCTTGATAAGATATCGTTTCTATAATATATTTCTTCCAAGAATATTCAAAAATTATGCAATAATTGTAAAAACTAACTCCGCTCCATGTGTCTCATAAGCTAACGTTGTGCTAGGTCAATAGGACCACTCCAGAATAAACACACTGATTGTTTAACTTACGTCCTTTATTGGTATTCCTGATGAGATGAGAAAGTAGATACGTGATCACATTTATATGGATCAGACGTTTTTATCACATATTTTAAGAGTAAAATTAGTGTATGATTGAGCCACTAAAAATCTTCAGATTGACTGAATATAAGTATAACAGTCACACTGTAAAAAGATAGACTAGAGAGTAATTTCTAAAGGCCTCGTTTTGCAGGCCCAGTATTGCAAAATCGTTTGAATTTCCACAGCATATACAATGTATGTATATTATACATATGTAATTGGGGTCTTGCATTCTCAGTCTAGATTTTTTGCGAATATCTTTCTGAGTAATTCTAGAATTTTTTTTCCTAAATCCTGATAATTTTTTTTTTTATAGAGGGATAATATACAGTAGTAAATCCAATACTAGTCATGTTTGAGTTTTAAACAAAAATGTATGAACATGTTTAGGATGAGAGTGTGTAATAATGACTTTTAGAAGGCCTACAAAACAAAGCCCTGGAATTTTTCACTCTATCACTAAAAGCAGTTACTTAAACAATATTAAATTGCATTTTTTCTTACTTTCCTTCATGTTCTCGTATTCTTCTATAATCCTTTAAAAATAGGTACATGTTCTTCAGTGAAGAAACTAAGGAATGTGTTTTTTATTGTTTCTGTTTAAGATTTATTCCTATTACTCATACATTCCGAGTATATAACAGTCTTCTGAACTATAAAGTTATTTCTTATGGCCTCACAAACTACTGATAAGTACGGAATGTTGTTTCCAGAGTAAAGACAGAATAAAAAATACAAAAAGGATTTGTTAACTTCATAACAATATTGTGTTCTTTTATATATTCTTATATCTCATATCTAAAGTTATTTTTCTTTGTATTGTTTATAAGGGGATTTTATATCTGTTTCAGACTGATTACAAAAAATATTTGTTTGTTTAATCAAAATGTGTATTTTTTTTGCAATTGTAAAACATGCACATTGATTAAGATTTCTCAGCTGAGACTTAAGCTTTACAAAAAAAAAAAAAAATGGTTAAAATAAATTTTGAGCTATTTTTTCTAGTTACGAGTAGTTGTCTAATTTTACAATGAAATTCATTCTGTTATGTTCGTATTAATATTGTGCTTGTTCATAAGATAAATTATAAGTAATTTCCAATAGTTTATGTCGGAAAATTGTTTTTTTCCATTGCAATGCTGCAATATTTTAAATTGATGTACATTTATATACATTTTTGTATATGGGGAATTTCGTGTCAAGTGACCCAACTTTTAAAATCGATGTCTTCCGATTCCGATGGACGAAATTTACACCAAGGTTAGTACAATTGGATAGTAGGTCAGACACAAATTCAATTTCAGCTCTATCGGTTAAGAGCTGTCGGACTTAGAGGGGGTCAAAGTTGGTCATTTATACCCTGCACCACCTTAGTGGGTCCATCCATTAAACTACAGGTCGCAATTTTGATGATAATTCAATGAAATTTGGCACATGATCTTCTATGGTACCGAAGACGAAACCTATAGAAAATGGTTAGCATTGGTCCCAGGTGTAGGGTATTACATGGTCGGCCTCGCCTCGACTATAATTTCTTACATGTTTTGGTCATGCAAAAGTAACACACATTTGAATAAAACCCTGTATGACCAAAATGTCCAACTTTGACCCCCTCTAACTCCGGCAGTTCTTGACCAGTAGAACTGAAAATTTGTGTCGGCAAATTTCATTCAAATTGGAAGATATCGATTTTAAATTTGGGTCACTTGACATGAAATTACCCATATGTTACGCTTAAAATTTGTAAATTTTTAATTGTTTAGTATTTTAGTGCACCTGGACGTATGAATGTTATGAAATTAATAATACATAAATATTACGTATACGCCGAGTATTCCTTTTTGTTTGGTATTTTGAATATAAAGCAGAGTAAGAATTGAATTGATAAACACTATTTCTATTATTATCACGAGATTTATTTTTGAACTTCAGAATAATATTTTTTTTTTTAATTATGTGCCGATTATGGGAAAAATTATTTAAAAAAATGTTAGCCAAATATAAATTCTATAGGTATAGATAGTAATTTATCTAATGTATGCTTTTAGGAGACATATATAAGTTTACCTATTCCGATAGGTAAATGTTACTATTTTAAAGTATAAATTTGCTTCATTATCTTTAAATGAAATTTTCTTTATATTACCTAAATAAATGTCAAATTATAGGACAATTACCAAAATTAATGTGTATATTTTTCTTTCTTCAATGATTTATTACCTACGGTAGGGATAACAAGTATGTAGTTTTTTCTACTGAATTAAATTAAATTACAAAAAAAGGAAAAAAACTGTCCCATTTAAAGATTATAATCTTTAAAGCCATTTACCACATTGCCATATGGCTGCTAGTTTTTTTTTTGTCTCTATCAAATGGTTCATTGACACGTTAATAAAAAACATTTCTAAATACTGTGATGAAATTTAATCTTGGAAAGTGTAAAAAAACACCATCATCCAAACACTGTGCATTTTCATACTTTAAGAATAATCTTAGCACGACCATTTTCTGCCAGTTATTTATATATACATATATCCTTGTGCAAGTATTGGGAGTTGGAAGCTGAAATTTAATTCCTTTTAAGTGAAATATTTACAACATAAAACGTTGTTAAACGAGCGACAGCATAAACAAAAACATTTTTATTGATGGCGTGTTTTTTGCACGAACTCAATTTGAAAACGTTTATAACACATAAAATATAGATAAATATGCGCATTTCTAAGTAGTAGACAAAAATATGTATATTGGGGGAAATGTTTTTTTGCCCCATTGTTGTGTTAACAAAATTTTATGCTTTCGCTTAAATTTTATGCAGATACTTAGCTATTTTTTACCCCTAATACTATGTAGACAATTATAAGTTGAACATTGTCAAACATGGTGCTATAGACACTTGTACTTGTTCATCTTGTTCTTTGTGTTGTTGTATATGTTATTACAATAATATTAAAACAAATACCAAAGAAGAGTTTATGCAATAATATATATAAATAAATTTGCACCACCATCATCATCATAACAGATCTTCTTGCAAAAACTAAACTCATGCTCTAAATTGCTTTTGATGGCTGTTGTCATTTATTTTTTATACAGCAAGGCCATCCTTTGTATTTTATAATTATTAAAATATAATCGTTGTAGAATAATTTTGTTTATGTAAATGAAGTAAGGATAAACTAGAAGTGACTGAAAGTATTATAAATTGTTTAGTTAAAATATTTTTTGAAATTTAAGAAATTTATGTGCAAATGAAGTTAAACTGGTAGGAGATAACATTTATAAAAACCTTTAGCTTCATAGTTTTTTATTTCGAAACACTTTAAGAAATTACTAGGATTATCTGCATTTAACTTTCTTAAGAAAATTCTCTAAACATGTTTGTCTTAATCCCGAGATAATAACTAATAATTATAATTTATTTTAAATTTGTTAGAAATACAAGAGAAAAATTCGAAAATTTTCCATACCTTGGTCGACTTCTTATTGCTGTAATAAAATCTTTGTTAATT